AGTGCTTTTCTTGCAATCCCATTGCTTTTTCTAAAACAGACTCAAAAGTCCCTTTTTTGCTCAAGGTAGAGGTACAAAGCATCTCTATTCCTTCAGTCCCAAAGCATTTAATTATAGTGGCCATGTCTCTCTCTTTTCCATTTGCCTAGGAAGCCAACAAGGGATGATAGGATGGTAAATCTGCTGGTTTTCAAGGGCACAAAGAGGTCATCACCTCCAAATCATATGGGAGCAATGGATTTCAGTAAAATACTGAAAATAACATAGCTGAAAAGTGCAAAAGGAAAGGCAGATCCCACCTCTGCAATACAATTTTGCATCACAGAATTTGGCTTAAGGCACTAAAGTTTTATGCATTTATTCTATGTCCATACAGACCTTTCTCCCTTTCCTCACAGATAGCTGACATGTCCTCTTCATGCAGGGACTCTCACAAGCCTTTTCTCAGAGCACATAAACAAAACCCAATTTTAACCCCATCCCTGCAGAATCACACATACAGGTTCCCATACCAGAACTTTTCATGTAGCTCATCTTGACCCAGTAACCTCCTGCCAGCCTTCACTCCCTGAACCCAGCTCTATGTAGAAGCAACTGTAAGATGACAGACATTTGTAAAGCCAGGTGGAAACAGCCTCACCAGAACTCTCCCTACCTAAGCCACTCTCAGGCTGTGGTCATCTGTGATCAGTTTATGCTGGGAAACCACAAGCTGATTGGCCACACAGAGCATGGTCACTGTTTCTTGGTGGTACAACTGAAACCACAGAGAAAAGTCATTACAAACTGTTATGATTTGTAACACCACCTTCTTCCTTCTCTACCTTCCCAGAAATGCTGCCTCCTGTGCACATGCAGCCTCCCAGGATGCTCTGTTCCACTGCATCAATGAAAAGCAGGAGTGAGATTCATGTCCAGGAACTCTTAGAAACTACATGCATGCTGTGCATGTCTATAAACTTTTGCATCCTCAGCCCAATGTACCACCCCTACTTCAACACAGGCTGCTTGCCCTAAGATCACAAAATGGGCCTTTATCACTACTGTGGAGACAAGAATGCTACTGTGTTTGTTTCTCTGTCAGGGCCACTTGGATGATCCACTTACTGGTGTGATGGAAAAATCAAATTGATGACACGATGACCCACCCGCTGATAGTAAAGCAAGAGAGACCCCAGTCAGACACCTACAGGGACGTTCTTTGCCACCAGCCAATGGCCTTCAGCCGTTTAGCTGGCAAATTATATAAATTATATAAAGAACTGAAAGAATATGGAAGGACCATTATGAATAATTATATTTTGGCTACCTCTCTGAAGTTAGAAGTCACAGGGAAAAACCTCAGAGTTGGTACATCTATGGTGACCTGAATCTTGTTTCCCTGTCATTCACTTCAGAGAGGATGACAATAAATATCAGTGGAATCAACGAAATAACAGTGGGACAAGGACAAGAAAGAGACTCACCCCCCTCATCCAAACAGACCCTGTAACACTGCACCCTGTCCCTGCTGACCAGGGCTCTCATTCTTCTTTGCAGCACATCTCAGGGGCTCATTTTCCCCAGCATAAAGAGTAAGCAAAATACCAGTAGATCAAAATGACGGTTTTGAATGCTATCAGTTGCAAAGACAGTGGAAATTCAGGACAACCATATCTGTAACAGAAGAGGGACAGCAGTGATATGAATATCTTTGCTTTTAATTTGATAGCATAAATGTGCTATGCAATAAGCTGAAAATATTTTGAGAGCCCCCAGCTTGAACCTCCGCCAAGCGAACTATTTTTAGTGGAATGTGTTTAGCTTGCTTGTTAAAGATTTAAACCTAGGCAATAATTGCAGTTACTCTTTTATCTGATTTAAGTAGGCAACATTTATTAATGCACAGTGATTAAGTCAACTATTCCAAAGTAAGCCACAAGGAATTAAAGCAATGAAGAAACAGGATGATATCCTGGCTGAAAGAAGTCAGCCCTGTGACCTAAAGTATGATCTGATCCATGATAAATAGCCTTTTAAGGCAGACTGGAGGGAATAGAGCTGTAAGTTATGACGGAGAATTTGATTTATCCCTCTGAAGGCAAAGTGATAACTGACTGATCAGAGCAAACTCTGCCATAGATTTTATAGACCCAGTTAGTTCATGCAGGTCTCCAAACAACTCTTGTCTTAGAGTAAGTCCATGTGAGAGCTGGATTCAGATTAGGAAAGAGGCTCATCTATAATCAAATCCTGATCCATATTATTATTCTTTGTTCACACACCTTAAATCTGAGTGCGGTATCCTGCATACTCACTCTTTAAAATATCCTGATTGAGCAGCAAAGTTCTCCTGCCCTGTCTCTTCTGCAAGTGTTCATGTGTGTACAAGCTCTTTAGTAACAGATAAAACAAGATATAATTACCCTGCAACCTGGGGGTGAGGGAAATTGCTTTTGACAATGATATTCTGAATGTCTTGTGATTTTCACTGAATTGTTTTATACTAAAGAAACTAAGTGTACAAACTGATCTATCTGCTTCAGCTATTTGTGAAAACCACCTCATTAACAGGAGCACTTTTTTCCTAAAGAAGCCTGGTACATATCCACTGGGTAAAAGGATAAATGGCTATAATCTTTGAATACACAAGACTACACAGAGTAGGTATTTCATAGCTGCACAAAGCCCGTAATTGAACTTCTGCCCTAGGGGTAAGTTTTCCTGCAGTGCAAGTGCTTCTAGATGCCATAAAGGGGTCATGTTCCTTGTCAGAAAAGGAGAGCTTTATATCCAGTTCATTGTTATCCCCAGCTGTCTTTCTGCACCCCCCCCCCCCTTTGAGGCTAGTTTTCCAACAGTCATTCAAGCAAATGTGCTCATTTCCCAGTTCCCCCGCAATTCCCCACCACAGTATAGCAAAGTGCAGATTTTGCATGGCTACATTCCAAACTCTGTGGTGTTAAAAATCATAGCAGCAATGGAAAAGCATGTAGCCTCAATAAACATAATGTAAGACTTGAGCTAGAGGTGACTCAGTGGTAGTCAAACAGATGCTATATGAAAATATAATGGTTTCTATGTACTGAGCAGTTAACCCATAGAGTTAGTACCCACACACTAGGTTTTCACGGCTTGCAAAGCAGCAAAAATTACTCAGTCTGAATTAAACTGGTGACCTCATCTCAGTTCACTGATTCTGGGTGTCCATCTCTGAACAGAGTAACCATGAACAGCAAGTCCCTTCTCCTATAATTACTTTGGCTTCATCTTTGGTGTCAATCACATGAAAAAGGGGAACAATCATGTCCATCCAGTATTTGGACCTCTTCAGCTCAATAGCAAAACATTCACTGATTCAGGACAGCTCAACAATGGCTGAGAAAGGAAAGTTCAGACCACAACCTGCTGCAGAAAAAAAACCTAAAAAAATTGCAAGGAAAACAGTGGACATAACAAAAGGACAACACAATCCCTTTATCTTCCTCAAAGTATTAATGAGAAACTCTTGTGTGTGCATTTGCAATGCCTGTCCCTTGTTACCAAGCACTAGCTATCACTTGCTTGAGTTACCAGACCTGTTGATTGAAAAACAGCTTGGGAGACTTCACAGTTCAGGCTGACAAGCAGCTCACCATTAAACACTCAGGCTCAAATTCTAGGGAAGGATTTTATACCAACTTACTCAATTTTACCAATAATAGCTCTGGGAGAGACAGTTTCAAGCCACTGTAGTTGCAGTTTTCAGACTGTCTTTCAATGCAGATACAGTCCTACCTAAATAGCCCTTACCAGTCCCTCTTCCCTCAGAAAACAGCCCACTTTTTAGTCAAAAAAAGATCAGTTGATCTTTGTAATAAGAAGGTGTTGGACATTTACAGCAACCCACTCCTAATCTTTTTGGTGTCTATTATGTGAATTGCCCCAGCAGGGAAACCCACACTATTCTGTGGGCTTCTTGTTGAATGTTGTCACTGCCTGATAACAAAAAAAGCAGATGTATGTATAATCTTAAAGGTATGGAGCTAGATATTTAGAGCTCAGTCAGCACCTGGGCCTCATAAGGTTATATTTTCCCCAGCAAAGTTCACTAAATATTTGGAAGATCTGAAACCTACTCTTTCAATTGTTAGTTTATAACCAAAAAAGAGAGGGGAAGTGCACCATCATCAAAACATTCTTCATTTGAACATGCCTCTCCTAAGCTTCTGTTGGACCAGAAAGCAAACATGTTGTGCCAAGCCTTCTTCTGTCTGGGGGCTTATGCCAAGGCTAGGATTTTGATCTGATGTGCTAGCAGAGGTGACTCCCACTCACATCCCCCCCTTGCAAGAGGAGGGCAAGGAAAGCCACTTGCTACACTGTGAACTTTCCAGGAAACATTGCCAAGCAGCACATCCCTGTGCCCCTCCCTGTGTTGAAACTTTACCAGTTCAGACAATTTCTTACTCCTGTTGTTACAATTAACCTTCAGAGAAAATTCTTAACGACAATCTTATACCTAATGAGGAACTGATGCAGATGATTAGCCTAGAAACGGTGTCCTTATTGCAATTCGACAGTTCTTTCTCCTCCCTGGATGATATCCTGACCCCTTCCCCATAGCCTGGGAGTCCTTGCTCACTTGAAATTAAAGGACAATTATCTCCAACAGAGAGGTGATCAAATCTTCCTCCTTAACTGGGACACTGGAAATTAAAAAGTCCTCCCCTCACCCACTGCTGCACCTGAGAGATCCTGCAGAAAATCAGGCACAGTTTTACCTGTAGTCTGTCCTAATATGCTAAATGTTTCAAAAAAAAAGCCTGGGCCAGCATTATCTCTGACAGCCAGAAAATGATATGCTTGGATGAGGAGTTTGGGGGAAAAGGAGAGTGAGGGATCAGCCTCTCCGGGATCTGTGCTTGGCTCCTCTTCATACAACAACTGCCACCAAGCACAGACTCTCACCTGACCCCACTGTTCTGCACAGCACTCACCCCACTCACCCCACCCCCAAATCAGTACTGTTTCATACTCACCATGTCATAAACATTCAGAATCACTGGTTCATTTGCCATTGTTGATTGAAGTAGAGGCTGGATTAAAACCTTTCAGTCCCTGCCAGATGTGTGTTGCTGCCCCCAGGGTATGCTTTTACCCTGAGCCAGATAGAAAGAAATGCCTCATCCTACAGTCTCTGAAGGAAGGAGCATGGAGGGAGGATGAAAGGAGGGAATTCTTGCGGTTGAGGGGGTGAAGTTGGTTGCAGGGAGGCTGGAAGGCTTGGGCTGGGTTTGCTGGTTGTACAGGGTTTTTCTGACCCCTCCACAGCACGACAGATCCGAGGTTTCTTTCTAACTCTCTAGTGCACCTCAGGGTCTGTAGACTCACATACCACTGTAATCAGGCACCGTCCACACTTGTAAATCCCGATCCACAGAAGACAGACTGTGAGCTGAAAGATAAGCCCTGTTCTGGCACCGCGAGAGAGGTGCGTGGTCGCAATGAACCTGTGCGCTAGGGCACGGAGCAGCTCCGGAACAGGGCACTGATCGACAGACCTACCGCCGGCAGCGCGCCCTGGCCCCCCGGGAGCTGTCCGCGGTGCTGGGGCTCGTCGCGCCGGTGGCCGGGAGCTGTCCGCGGTGCTGGGGCTCGGTCCGCGCTCAGGCGCTCCTGGGAGGGCTCTCCGCCCCTGGCAGGACATGGCGAAGAGGCTGTGCCACAGCGGCTCCAGCGCCGGGCTCTGCGGTAGGAGGAGGAAGAGGAGGGGGCTGGCTGCCCCGGGGGCAGAAGGGGGATGCTGCAACCCCCATCCTGCCGCAACCGTGCAGGCAGACCCGGCGTCGGCTCCGAAGTTAGTGGGCAGTTCTCCGCAGGAGGTAACGCGGGATTACCCGGCGCCGGAACCGGAGGGAGGAAGATTCGGAGCAGGTGCTGCTTCCAGGCACGGTGCGGGGCCGGGGCAGGGCACCCTCAGCTGTGCGCGTTATGCTCTCAGCCAGGGTCAGTCCTTATTTCGGGATCAGCTCGTCCCGAGCGTGGCAACCCCTGCTGACTGACAGCCGGTGAAACCTAACCCGTCCTCTACTGGCTGGACGCATCTCTGCATGGCATACGGTGGGAGGGCGGGGAAGGGACGAAGAGACTGGGCAGTGCGAGTAGTTTCACTTCAGGCAGCGGCAGGGTCTGGAGCTTCTTCTGTCCTGGAGCTACTTTACACTCGTGTTAGGTCCGGGCAGCTCTGCAGTGCCTTGCCAGCAAACACTTCCCTCTGACCTGAATGCGAGAGTCATTTACAAAATCCACTGCGGTAAATGCATCTTCCCTGTGCTCCTCCTCTCTCTTTAAAGGGAAAGCAGAGTCTGTGGTGATGCTGAGAAAGGGTGCAGTTGAGAGGGGAAAGAAGGGGGCTCCTGCACCCAGAAATTTACAGTGGTGGGGGAATTCACATGTTGACCTTAAGCTTTCTGACACCACAGACTTTCTGAAGCAGCTCCCCCTGCTCCCCCCAAAAGAGGCAGGGATGACCTCATCTAAGTTGGAGGCGTATCTAAGGCTTTCTGCCAGCTCACAGCCAACCAGATCTCAATGAAAATTGCAGGGAGCCCCTTACATCATCAAAGCCCAGCATGCCCCAGCCCTTCCCAAAACTGTCTTTAGTCACATGGAAACTATCCTGTCTGGGAGAAGGGCTCACCTCCCTTTGTCAGGAGTGGAAAGACGAGACCATAGAGCTGCAGCCTTGTAAATACTTGTTGCACAGTGTGTAGGAGGATTTGTGGTGAAGGCAGGCAGCATGAAATGAGAGCAAGACCATATCCTGCATAGCTAAATGTCAGCCCAGAAGAGTCAGATATAAAACTTTTCCTTCAGCCAGTGCCTGAGGAGACTCAGAACTGCTTTGCCCTAACAGTATGCATTTGCATTTTGAAAGAGCAAAGCCACAGCTCAAGCCTGGGCATGATGGCATGGAATGCAGCAGAGATGCAGCACAGTAATTTCTAACGGGCTAGTAAGTCCGAGGGTGGGCTAGGCAATTCCACACATGGCCCAGGGAGTGGGGTCAGCACCCCGACCACCCTGTAACCCATCAACTCCAACTTCTCTGTTAGGTGCCATTAACCATCTGGCTCAGCAGCCTGGACCTGCAGGAGCAGTTTGTGCAGGTCAGAAAAGGTGCCTCCTCCTCGCCACTACCAGACTCCAGCTTCTGCTCAGAGAACAGGCTGAGCCCCATCAGCATTTTAAAGACCATGAAGCAATGAATAGCTCCTTCTACAAGGGGTTAAGTGCCATCACTTGTGCCCTAATTTGTAAAACAGACCTTCTGAATCACACAGGGCTTGTGCCAAACTGTCAAAGATCCTGAGACTGTCACTTTGGGCACATGTCTTGCCCTGGTGATGGTGATGTTTTAAGGAGACGTGAAAGAGAGGGAATAGCTGATATTAGACCAACTGATGTAATTGGAAAAGTGGCATGCAAGCTCTTTCCACACTTCTCCACATGGTTACTTGCTAAATTAACTGCAATGTCTGCTGTGCCTAGAGTTCACCAAAATGAATCGAGAGACTTAAACCAGATCCACACACTCCAGAGACAAATATCTGTAAATACCTAGGACTTAGAGAGGTGACAGGCAGCCACAGTCTTAGATGTTTGGTCCTGTAAACTTTTCTGAAATAATTACTGTGGGGAGGGGAAGCTATAAATTATGAGCAGAATTCCACTTCTAAATTTTAGAGATACAACAGGGAAAAAAAGAATAATTAAACCAAAAGCTTGTCTTTAAATTCACCTTCTTGCTTTAAGAGATCAAAGCCAGTCTAAATGTGCAATTGTTATTTAAAGGACTTCTGCTGTAGGACAGACAGCAAACGTCACTTGCACATTAAGACCTGGATTCACTCCCCCCAACTTGAAATGTAACTGCAAGAGCTACATTACCATTGCTCTAGGCTCCCTTTTCTTCCCCTTTATAGAAGGGAGTTGCTTCACATGGTGACTTAGCCTCATTGGTGATCCTTTGAAAGTTCCTTTTTCTACCCCATTCTATTCTAGATGACTTATTCTAACTCCAGATAGAAGGGATCAGACTGAATACAAATGTCCTAACATTAATATAAGCTGTTTAACAATCCCATAAACTCTTTACAAGACTTGCCTTGGGCTGTGTTGAAGTGTTTCATCAGCAGCTCAGACTGATACCAGCCAAGAAACTGAACCGTTCTATTTCAGGTGTGCAAGTATGAACCTGCAGACAGTCCCACTGCCAACAGGCACCAGAATCCAAGTCTTGCCCTATAAAAGAATCAAAATTTAAATAAATTGCAAATACGAAGGAAAAGGAAGATTCTTCTTACTACTTGCTAGAGCAGCTGGAACTTTGAGATCTGTTTTGAATTCTTCTTTAAACCATTTATGCTACTTTTAGGACAGAGCAGAAACACATTTTTCATATACATATGGTTAAAGTTGGACAACACCTCAATTCACATTTAAGTGGTTTGTTGCAAGGCCTGATTTTCTCGGATTCTTCACATCACTAGCACTCCCTTCCAAGGGATTAATGTATACAGTTTAACTGTGGTTATCCACACTCACTATTCATAGCGTAAGTAAGTGTGCATCTTGAAGCATCACTGTCTAAATCAGACAATGTGGACTTACATGTCTTCTTACATTAAAAAAGAGGTGAAAAGGGTTAAAAGGAAAATAATGCCACCATCCAACATGGGTTAGAAAACCAAGAATCAGGCACAGACTTCAGTAATTACCTGGTACATTTTTCAAGGAGGTAACTGACAGCTTCAGCCACCTCGTCCAGGTCCCAGTCACAAAAGTGACAGTGCTGGGCACTGTGAACAGTGCTGTAACATTTCACCAGGGACAAGAACAAAAGAACAGCAGTACAAGAAAGAACTAATGGTTGTATTAGAGGTGAGAGTGGTATCTGAGGGTCTGCTTGTGTTACTATTCAGAAATTGTACTTTAAATTAACATTTTTTCTTAATTTACCATCATGTACTTTCAAAGGCTCCTTAGCAACCTACTAGGGGCTTTCAAGCATGTTTCACAGTGGGGCTGCCCAGTTTAAACTTTAAGATACTTAATGGTCTTGTCTCTACATCAGCTACATCACTGCTGGCTGTCCATTATACTTTTTGACAACTTCTCATTTCGGACTTATATATAATGCTTTTGCCCATGTCAAGTTGTCATTATTATTCCATTATGAGTACATCAGCCAAGACTATCCTTTTTTAAGGAAGTATAAAATAGTCTTCTAAAAACTAGAAATAGTATTTTTTTTCAGGTCCCTGAGAATGGTGAAGAGTATTCAAGAACGTAGAGTTGCAGTGCCCTTCTTTCATCTACAACAATAAATCACCCAGGTTCTGCAGCATTGTAGCCTTATTCCAGGACTGTCAGAGGAGGTACTTAGATTGAAACCTGGGCTCTCTTAGTCCTGCAGATTTAAAGCTCACCCATCAAGGAATGCACCCAAACCTTCAAATTACAGAGCTCATGTAGGCACCTTACATCTTTCCACCACACAACAAAGGATGACTTGGGCTCCATTCCCGAAGCAATTTATGTCTTTTACACTGGGGGAAGACAATCCACAGAAAAGAAGATGGAAGTTCCGGTACTTGCTCTTAGACATGTTCCCTAGCTACTAAGCTGCACTGTTTCAGCACCTTCAAACTGCCTGTTGATTAGAGGCCAGCCATTAGATGCCCAGAAATGATGTGTCTCTTTTTCAGTCAAGCTAAGTATCGTATTCTGCAGCAGTATCATTCTAGAAAAGCTAGCAAAGGTAGTGGTACAGGATATTGACTAAAGAGATGCATAAAGGCAACCCAACTTATTCACAGAATTTAGGTATCCTTTATTATCTCTTATCCCTGTCTCTCTTTGCAATCCTTTCATAGAACCTGAACATAAAGGAAATTAAGAAACCACAAAAATATTGAAAGGTGTCTCAAAACTAGTCCTAATTTTTAACTTTTTCATTGAGAATTTTGATTGTATGTATAAGGCAGGGTAAAATACAACTTGTCAGCTAGGCTTACAGTTTGGTAACAGTAGTTAGTAACTACAAGTGCGCTACCATCTTTACTTTGGTTGCATTAATTTCTTTACAAATCACTGTGGTTGGTTGGTGGATTGGTTTTCGGAGTTGTTGTCGGGTTTTTCCCCCCCTCCAGAAAACTAAAACTTAATTCCCTTTTCTTATTTACTTGCTGTTTTACCTGCATGTTGGATGATTAGCCAGCACGTACAATAGCATGCCGTGATTCTCTGTGGCTATTATAGCATCCAGACAGCACAAGGAATCTTTTATCTTCTGAAATAAACACACCAAACACCACATCATATGGCACGTGTATCCACAAGTGCCTTCTGATAGTTTCAAGGCTACTGTGCTGTACTGACCAGCACCACATATAGGTATTACTATGCCAGTTTCACTTGATTCATTGTGCTCTGTTACTCAAAAATCTCTGTTATTTTAAAGAGTGAGATATCCATTTATGCCTAAGCAAAGATGGTAGCTCTCTAACTCCCTGGGAGAAGCTTGTCTCTTGTTTGATTAGATGCAGAGGGTGGGCAGCTCATTCCCTTTGAGCAAAAAGAGCTTCAGTGTTAGACCCTTAAGTTGATTTGTTTGAGGCAGATAGGGTTTTACAGCTTTACAAGGTTTAGTGAAGGGTTTTGTTTAACCCAATATATTCTGTAAGACATACCTGGAGGGCTCTAACAGGCCCCTGCACATAATCCGTATGAGCAAACAGGCTGTGGCTAACTATTAGACATGTGTATACTACTCAGACAATTCCTAATTCAAGGCAAAACCCACTGTAGTGCTTTCTCAAACAAAATTGTTCATATATAAAAAGATCGAACAGTGAAGAAACACCTGCAGGTAAAGAGAAAATATCTACCAGGATTTGGAGATGGAACTCTGTATTTTTCCCCTTATTCCTCCCACTCCCAAATTTTCATAACCCTGCTGTGGTACACACATGGCATAATCTGGTTACCAATGTTTTTGAATACTGCTATAATGTAAACTGAAATTCATGCCAAAGAAACCAGTGACAGTGTCCCATCCTATTCACACTCCTTGAGCTTAGTTTGGTGTCTTACTTGGCAATGGGAAATGAATTGAAAGAAGTCACTGCACAAAGGCAGCCTGCAGCAGTGCACATTTCCCATTTTCCACCTATTTTTGTTGACGAGCAGCCCCAGCTTTAGTCAGTATTTACAGCCTTTCACAAAGGACCTATGTGCTAATCTCTTTCAAGACTAAATGCAGGGAAACGCCAAAGCAAAAAGCTGTGTTTGTTTCTACAGAGCTACCAAAACCCAAAGCTTCAGGTTAAATACATTTGTCATTGAGGAAGGCAGAAGCTACCACAGATGTCTTAGAAGTGTATTGGTCAGAAACAGATTATCAAAATTTATTTTCTCCAGCGCTTATGAACAATCTTGTAACACAGAAGTCATATCATCATCTGAACAGCAAGCAAAAAAATGTGAACCCAGACACTCAAAGGGTGAGGAAAAAACAATTCTGTCTTGCAACAGTGATGGAGAAAGTTCAAGGCCAGGTAGGGCAGAAAGACTGCAAGAGGCACATAGGCCTCTTGCAAAGCTGGTGAAGTACATAGATGTTAGGACGTGTTTCTTACCCTTCACTAGCCTCCTAAATCCAACCTGATTTTGGGATGCTGTTCCCACACTGCACCCTTGCTAATGTCTCAGTCTCTTCCTCCAATTCCAGGACAACAGCTCCCCATTAAACACAGTCAAATGGCTATCCTTTGGTAGCTACTCTTCGAACCCAAATACACCAACACCCTGTAAAGAATCAGGGAAGAAAGAGGAATAGGAGACCAGCAGTCCTGGTTCCACAAGGCACTCATTTGCAGTGTAGGCAGCAGAGCCTTGGTTCCCCTTTCAAAGGGCTGTTTTTCCCTTCAGCAGCCTACCCTGGAATCCACCCACAGATAGAAGCCAATTTTGCATGACTTCTTCAGGTAGCAGAGATGCTAATATCAGCATCCCAACAGAACTCCATTTGCTGCATTCATTTCCCCACAGACTTTTAACTCATGAATGCTATAAAATGCCACAAAGCACTAGTAGTATGTCACTAATTTCACCACAGAGATGGCGACTCCTGATAGGACTTCTATCAATAGTCTCTGAATCACTTTGAGATGAATCAGACTGTTAAAATAATTAATAGTCATGCACCAGCTTGGCTGCTTCCTTACCAAGCTGAGACCTTACAAATTATGAGTAATATTGGCATTGAACAAGGAGCTAACATTTTGAAGAAAAATAATCTATTTTTCCCCTCTCCTGCCACCCCACTGGTGGCGCAACAATTTTCAGACAGCTGATGAAAATCTTCTGATAAGACTGAATTATTGTATCTTGAAACAAAAGGGGAAAAAGATCATTTATATGAATGTTTTCCAACTACTTTTCATCTTCCTAAATATTCATACCCAACTTACTGCTCTCCAAAGCATGAGGAGGCTAGATGGCACTGCAGGCTAATGGTCTATCTTATTATTACAGAAACTAATTAAGTGCATTTGGTCATCTTATCATCAAGCTCCATGACTAATATAGATTTCTTCAACTTTCAATCACTGAAAAATTGAAGGCAACAAGCCTAAGTATGTAATTTTGCAAGGTTAGTCCTGGACTGAATAGCCAATAGAAGCCCTCTTTTCCTGAAGTACTGTTCATCCTCATAACTTTGCTTGGAGTAATGGAGTAAATATACAAAAATGTCAGTATTATTTCAGACGTATATCAGAGTTTGCCTGTTCTATCAGTTCCTCACTGTGTCATGAACACTAAAGAACACACATTCCCACCTATACAGCCATAACCCAGCTTAACAGTGACATCTGCTTCTTTCCAGTTGCAGCTCTGAAATAATAATAAAACCAAAATAAACCCAGCTTAACAGTGATATCTGCTTCTTTCCGGTTGCAGCTCTGAAATAATAATAAAAACAAACAAAAAATCATCATTTTTCCTGCATACTTACTCTGTCTAAGCAGTATTCCAAAACTGGAGGCCTATCTATTTTCCTATTAGGAAAAAAAGAGATTGTATCAGTGAAGGTGTTATGCAGGTACAGTCCTGCTGGCTCACAAAAAGATACACATGGTCCTGTTTCCACCAACAAAGCAAAAACCCCTAGCAGGCTTCCTCGCCCAGTGAACTCTGTGCTTGCTCCAGCAGCATCATTCCTGACATCTCTCTCCCTCTCATACCCTTCCATGCACAGACACACATGCATCTCTGGTTCTCTGCATTCTCAAATGCTTCCACACCACATGCTTTAGCCTTGCTCGGGCTCCACCTTGGAGTCTACTGCCCATTAATCTCTCCCACTGTCTCCAGTTATTTTATTCCACAAAGAGATTTCATTGATCTTTCTGTGTGTTTCGAACAAACATATTGCCTGCCTTGCCCTTACGTACATCATTGCACGGCAGGAAACACAGTCACCTTCTATAACAATATTCTTATGTAAAAATAACTTCAACGAAGGCTATCCACCTCTGAATTGGGTGAAGATGTTAGTTTGAAGGACAGATGTTTCTAGAATAAAAGATCTTGCATGTTTATTACTAAGAAAATTACTTATTATTGAAAAGCAAAATGCACCTTCAGCAGCATTCTAAAAGAGGCAGGGTAAGTACGGAACACAGCACTTGGAAGGACAACGATAGACTGAGATAGCAAAATCTTCCACAAATGTGTCTTCTCACATTTGAGACTCCTATTTGTATAATGTGTGCGCTGGCTTGCACACACTGGCCTGCTAGTGCCTGGGACACAACTCGTGCAAACCAAGAGAGACTGCAATTAACGTATTTATACTGAGGGGAAACATTGCTATCTGGGAGAGAAAGCAGACAGTTCTCCCAGTGCCAAAGCAGCAGAGTTCATGCAAAGCTCTGCTGTAACACAAGGCTATGTGCCTAATATTTAAAGCACTATTCAATGACTAAGCCAAGGGTACAGCCTAAATAGGAAGAAAAAAAAGAAGGAAAAAGAAAAATAATGAAAAAGATACAATGTGAAGATCTGCTGTGCTGAACTGGCTAGGTGGAGGGTAATGAAGAAGCAGCACATGATTTGAACTAATCAGCCCTCTCCATCCTGCCCCAGAATGGCCACCTGTAATGTTCTGGAGGCCCCTCTGGGGTGGTAGAGACTGTACCAGTTTTAGCCGAACACATCATCAGAGAACAAGGGAGAGGAAGGGCTAGGCAATGAACAGGT